GTTCCTAAACATTTGCATCACATGGATAAAATCCATGATTCTCTCATTAGCCAACAAACGTGACTTTTGATAAGTTTTATCCCTTTGAACGTTACTTTTCCTAGGTCTATAAATACCAGGCATTCCTGTTTCTCCATGTACATCACCAGACTTTCCAAAAGTCGTTCTCTTTTTCTCTTGCTCTCTGCTCTTTATTTTAATTCTCCTACTCTCTGCTGGATATAGTGCAACTTGTTATTCTTGTTCCTTCTTGAAAAAAGAAGAAGACTTGTTTAATTTTGGGGAAACATTTCAGTATCCTTGAAATAGTTCTTAGCACAGTGCTATTAAACACGACTCAAGCTTCATTTTATTACCATTAGTTAACATTGTTTTGGCTATTTTTTCTACAATCTAAGAAACTATGGCCTCGGTAATGTTAATACCTCACAACCTGCATCCGCATCAATTGCAGTGGCCCTACCTTTGGCTAAGACTTTTTCGGACGTCTCCAAAATTGAAGTTTTTGTCAATGAAAACTTCAAAAGGTGGCAAAAGCATGTACACACTCTATTCGACATTCATAGAGTGGCCTATGCACTGACAGAAGCATAACCAACTGCAACTATAGATGTCAAGACGCAAGAATCCTGGCAATATGCCAATAAGATATGTCGACAAACTATTTTACAAACACTTTCAAATAAACTATTTGACGTGTACTGTAGCTGCAAGGAAGCTAAGACAATTTGGGAAGTTGATAACAAAATTTACCGCCGAAAACATCACAAAACGAAAATTCGTCGTGGGAAAGTACAACCAATGGCAAATGACAGAAGGCAAAGATATGAAAGTGTGACAGCCCCACCTTCCCTTTTTTTCTCTCAATGGTTCAGCCAAAAGAGGGGAAAGTGATAGGATTTTTTTGTCAATTTTTTGTTAGTTAAAGAGGTAAGAAAGTCTTTAGTCAAAGTCAAAGGTTCAAAACCTTTGTGACAAATAGTTAGCCAAGATTAATCCTTATCTTGTTGTTTTCCATAGGCTAAACTATTTAGCTAACCTCTAGTTATCCCTTAGCATCTTATAAAATACTATCGCTTTATGCAAAACTCCTACTAATTTTCAAAAATTTATCGCATTTATCGCATTAACGGGTCTCACTTCCATAATGCATTTGAACTTATCATGAACTAAGTTATACAAGGAAAATGATTTTAAAACTTGACTCACTTATAAAAATATCTAGAAAATTAAGGTAATAAAGTAAAGTACAGAAAATATAGTCGAAGAAATAAAATAAAATAATATAAAATAAGGAAATTTTCGGGTCCTCACACTCTCTCCCCCTTAAAAAAAATTCCGTCCTCGAAAATTCTCACATTGATTAACAAACAGCTCAGGGTATTTCGTTTGCATTTCTTCCTTCACTTCCCAAGTTGTCTTTTCTACCCCATGATTTCTCCACAAGATCTTCACCAAGGGAATTTGCTTGTTTCTCAGTTCCTTAATCTTTCAGTCGAGCAACTGCACGGGTTTCTCCTCATAGGTGAGAGACTCATTTATTTCAATTTCCTCTGGTTGTAAGATGTGAGTCGGATCAGGATGGTACTTCTTTAACATCGAGACATGGAAGACGTCATGAATCCTAGACAAACTCGGTGGTAGTTCGAGTCGGTATGCCTCCTTTCCAACTCGTTGGAGAATTTTGAAAGGTCCCACAAATCTTGGTTGAATTTTCTTTCCTTTACCACCCGTGACACTTAGCAACGGAGTGATCTTAAGAAATACAAGATCTCCAACTTCAAACTCCAAATCCTTCTTTCGGTTGGCCGCGTAATTCTTTTGTCGACTTTGAGCTGTTTGAAGTCTCTGACGTATCAATTTGATCTTTTCATGTGCATCCTCCATCCATGGCCCTGTTGTTGGATCTAAAACCTACGTTTTCCCCACTTCATCCCAGTAAACCGGTGATCGGCACTTTCTTTTGTAGAGAGTTTCGTGTGGTGCCATTTGAATATATGAATGGTAGCTGTTAATATATGGCAAACTCTACCAATGTCATGTGCTAGCCCCAACTACCTCCAAAATCCAAGATACACGTCCTTAACATATTCTCGAGGGTTTGAATGGTTCTTTCCGATTGTCCATCTGTTTGGGGGTGATATGTAGTACTAAGGTTTAGTTTGGTCCCTAAGGCTTCTTGCAACTTTTGCCAAAATCGAGACACAAATCGAGAATCCCTGTCTGAGACTATACTCATTGGGACTCCATGTAATCTCACAATTTCATCCATATACAGCTGAGCCAACTTTTCCATAGAATACTTCATGTTTATTGGCAAAAAATGGGCCGATTTGGTTAACTGATCGATGATTATCCAAATGGCATCATGACCCCTCTGTGTCCGTGGCAAGCCTGAGACAAAGTCCATCGTAATGTTTTTCCACTTCTATTCAGGTATTTCGAGGGGTTGTAACAAGGGTTTTTGATATTTGGTTTTAACTTGTTGACAGATGAGACAAGTTTGAACAAATTGAGCAATTTCCTTCTTCATGCTATCTCACCAATATAACTCTTTTAAATCCTAATACATCTTACTACTACCCGGATGGATCGTATATTTGGACCGATGAGTTTCCTCCAAAATTTATTTTTTCAACATTTCATCCTTTGACACCACTACTCGGTTCCGATATCTTAAAATTCCCTCAAGACTCAAATTGAAATCAGACAATTCCCCTTTTTGCACCTTTTCCATCCACTTTTGTACCGCCGAATCTTTCTTCTGAGCCTTTTTTATTCGATCTAGTAGAGTGGATTTCACCGTAATATTTTCAAAAATCACTTTCTCACGTTCAAGACGAGGATTCCACTCACTAACTTTTTCTAACATATCCCATTCTTTAATCATTAACCCAGCCACTTGAGCCTTTTGACTTAAGGCATCTGCTACGACATTAGTCTTCCCAGGATTGTAGTTAATCGTACAGTCATAATCTTCTAAAAATTCCATCCATCGACACTACCTCATGTTTGTCGCGCCCCACTTTTTGAATGAAAGTGAATGTGTGTGATGTGTGGTGTGAACGTGTGCAACATAAAAAGTAAAAGGCCATGGGACTTTGGAAAGCGACGATTTGGCCAAATGAAATTTAAAAAGGGTTTTTTAAATATGAAAAGTTTGGAGTCGCCACTTGGTATAGATTTGGGGTGTACCAAGTCACCCAAAAAGTGTTTTTTAAAGACAAAGTAGTAAAACCCTTTTTAAAACGACTCCTAGTCCACGTAAGCCAAAGAAAAAGGTTCGGGGGTCACGTTTGACAAAGGGGAAGGCAAGGATAGAATCCAAGGCACCCCTTTGACCTAGCCAAGGCTAGTGGCGCGACTTAAACCAATTTTTCCTAGTTTTCTACCCAATGTATGTTCGCACGTTGGATATGACTATGTGAATGCAGAACGGAAAGAAAAAATGCAATCCTAAATTCTACGATGTCTCTTGTGAGGCTTTTGGTCCCAAACCACATGAATTGTGGCGGCCAACAAAGGAACACCTCATAGAGGTCGATTAATGCAAATGAGACTCAAGTGTGCAAGTGTGAAAGTGTATGAAAGATGCAAGAAATGTAAGTGCAAGTGTGCAAAATTGTATAAAGGTGCTTGTGTGAAATTGTAAAAAAAATCCAAGCGTTTGTGTGCAGATGTATGAAATGGTGCTCGTGTGAAATTGTGTGAAAAATCCAAGTGTTTGTGTGCAAGGGAAGGGATATGAAGGTGCATGTGTGAAAGTAGGAGGAGAAAATAAAAGTGTAATGAGGGTATAGAATGATAGAGTGAATATAGAATGCATGAGCCTAGGGAATGCAAGCAAGACGGGTACGGGGGTTGACTCCTAACTTTCGACTTTGATTTTCCCTTTGATTAGAAGGCAAAACTAGCGTGCTAAGGCTATCGAGTAGCCACACTCGCTTGTTTCCCTTATCAGAAGGGGACCCTCAAGCAAATGGACCCTACAACTATCATGATATGCAAAAATCCTAAAATGAAGGGAAAGGGGGTTCGAGGAGCATGCCAAGTGATAAAACTAAGAAAAATGCATGATTTGTGGTGAACAAGCAAATGATATGCTAATGAGGGGAAATCCCTAAGGGTCTAGCGTTGGACTAGCCCATTCTATGAATTCCGACTAGCGTTGGACTAGCGGAAACGTACAGTCATCCATTCCATTCATTCATGGCTATGAAAGCAAGTAGACATGCCAAAATACTCGTAAACACATAGCACATAGCATTTAGCATGCTCGACTAGATGCAAGAGCCTAATAAAGCAATTAAACATGTAGCAACAAAAACAAGCAAGCAAGGGGAAGGGGAAGTGGACCAGATGCTCTCCGAGCCCTATCTATTACAAGCCAAGAGGTGTACACATACCCCATGAAAGCATAAAGGGGAAGGGGAAATGGACCAGATGCTCTCCGAGCCCTATCTATTACAAGCCAAGAGGTGTACACATACCCCATAAAACTTAAATAAAGTAAAAGCAAGTAAATGCATGCATGGAGGTAAGGAAAGCGGAGTAGGCATGCATATTCACATAACACGTAGGAGCACATAGGGTCAAATGAAGTGCAAAATGAGGGATAGGGTGTACCTCCCTTGAAGCGACGCCCTAACGTAGTGAAATTACTAATTTATCCTCCAAAATAAAAGAAATGGTCAAGGTACCAATTTATTTGGAAAAATTAAAAGAAATGTGCAAAGCAAAGCTCACTTGACCATAAAGTCCCCAAAGTCATGACTTAAGTGCAATTGACAAAGCATGGTAATTAGTTGAAGCAAAACAAGCAATGAATTGAAAAATTAAAATTTCCAAGGACCAAATTGCAAATATTAACAAAGCACTCAAGCTTAATCAAACACTTTTCAGGAACTTCAAAGGTCCAAGGGCAAAGACAAAAGCAAGTAATAGCTCAGATTGCAAACACTTTAGAACTTGAATGCAAACGATTGAAAAGCAAACGGGTCTTTGTAGCATTGCTGCAAAATCTCATGGACTAAATTGATTAATCCTTCCAATTTCTGGGTCATAGTAGAACAAGGGGAGACTTGGGGGGTTAAGAGACAATTCTGAAATTATCCATGCATGCAAAACACGTAGAAGCCTTTCATTTCTGCGCCAATTCAGCTGCATTTCCTTCATGTTTCACTCCCAAATGCCAACTCCACATCCAATCACATACCTTAACCAAAGCTAACATCCAAAACTTTAAACTTAGACAGTAAAAACATAAGTTTAACATCCCAAATCAGCAAAGACAAAGGTGGAAATCATTCAAACATTGAAGAATGAACATGCAAACATTGAAGAATGAAAACTGCTATAGCTGAAAGTGAAATCTGCTGCATTTTACTTGCAAACTAACTCAAATTTTCTGGTTCAAATACATAACTTCGACCAAGATTAAGCAACAAACAACTTTGGCTTGAGCAACCATGATCCAAGCAAGCAAACAACCCAGAAAAACATTATATTCAGGTCTGAAATAACATGCAAGCAACAATAAAAGGTTTCAGCTTCAACAATGTTTCCGGCCAAACAACTTTGCAGCAATTTTCTTATAAACTCAGATTCTTATCACAACCTTGATTAGATGTAATTAAACTCAACGTCACAACTTTAGACCAAGCCCACAACTAAACCACCATCATAATCCAAACAAACAAGAAACCCAAGAAGATATCATGCAAATTTCTGGAATAAACATGCGTGCAACACTGGTTTGACAACTTCAATCATTCATTTTCCAGCAAGCATTGGATCCCAATTCAGGCATTTCAGCCAAAGTAGCACAAGACTGGACATTACCTAGACTGAACAGCCACAGCTACGGTAAAAACAAACAAAGACAAAAAGAAGGAAAATGCAATCTAGCCGAAAAGATGAAATTGCAGCAGAAATTCTGCTGTGAACTGCGCAGCTCATTCCATGCAATTTAGGTCCGTATGAAAACTCTAACAATTTGTTATCTCATCAGCCCCAACCCACATAATCCTCACTCATTGATCGATCTGGGAGAAACCAGGCCAAACCAATGCACTCCTCAACCAAAACAGAAATAAAAATCCAACCTTCCTCAAATATCAAAACCCAACCATGAAACGAAAAGTGTTAGATGGAATGCCAAAAGAAAACGGACAAAGTTGGCTTCAGATTTTGGAAACAAAATGGTTGGTAAGAAAAACAAAACGTTATCAGGCCTGGCTATACTCAAAACACAGAAAAACATCGAAGGAAGGGAACAACTTTACTTGCAAACCCCAATGAACACAAGAAAACTGCATGCTGTCACGCAAAAATCATCCAAAACACCAAGCTTTACTTTAGCGATCAAGAACTCAGTGCAAGACTCCAGGAACTCTAATTACGCAGACCAGATTTCATAGGAAATGGAAATAGATACAGAAACGGGTGGAAAGCTACCTGTTGACCACCTTTGGGTTTGAAGCTTCAGCTTGGGTGATGAAGAAATCGATTGCAGAGTCTGATGAAGTCGCTGCTTGGGGTTTCTTTCAGTCTCCTTCTGGTTTCAGCCGTCCAACCAACTTCTCAACCGTCACTAGCCTTTCCAAATCTTTGCCGCAGTCAATCGATGCCCCCTCTTTGCTATTTCCCTTTCCTCTCACCAGGCTGTCAAGCTCTCCGCCGCCACCCCAAACTCTCTTTCGGACTTTTCCCAGATTTCTTTCCTTTCTCCAGATCCTTGCAGCCGTCCGTCTCTCTATGATGTTTTCTTTTGCCGTTTACTCTTTCTCCCGTAACTCTCTCCTCAATCCTCGGGTGGGTTTTCTTTTTTTGCTTTTGTTTCTCTCCCCGTTGGTTTTCCCTTTTGTTTTGGCCGAAGCCCCCTTTCTCTTGCGGCTCCCCTCTCTCTTTGTTTTTGTTTTCTCAGCTCACAGATCATTCCCCAGCTTTCTCTCACCAAAACCCTTCCTACCCCTCTCGGATTTTTAGTTCTTGGCCGTCCAGATTTTGCAGCCGTTATCTCTCTGATGAAAAAACCTCTCCCTTTGCGGCTGTCCTTCTCTTTCTTTATATACCTGCCCTCCAACCCTAAAACCCAGTCCTTTCTGTTATATTTGCCATCCAAGGAGCTCCCCGAAGCCCCTCCTTGCAAGCTGCAAAAACGCAGCTTGCAAGTCGCGTGTCATTTTTTTTTTTTTTTTTTACAATAACAATTACAGAAATGATAAAATCAAATATAAATAATAACAACAAAATTACACAAACTAGGTAATAATAATAATAACAAAACAAAAATAATTTTTAAAAAAAAACTAAACAAAAATGGCTATTTTTAATTTTTCGTTTTTCATCATTTCCTTTTCCCAAAATAACTTAATAAAAATAACTAAAGTGCCCAAAGATTGAATTTAAAGAAATAAACATATTTTTGTGAACAAATTTTCCTTTTTCCTTTTTCTCTTTTTTTTTTCATTTTTCCAATCCAACTGAAGCCTATTTTTTGAATTTTCCTTTTCAAGAAAGCATTGAATTTAAACAAAATGACTAAAATGATTTTTCCTTTTCTTTCTAAAAACTCTATAAACTTAAAAACTAAGAAAACTAAAAACTAAAATCTAAAACTTAAAAGTGATTAAAAACCTGAAATGACAAAATAAAAAATGAATAGACAAACTAAAAGGGGCCAAATGAATAAAATTAAAATAAAATAACAACTAAAAATGCAAAACACACAACAATGAACTAAATGCAAGCGATCTAAAATAAAAATCATGAAGTAGATGCCACATACAAATTATTCAAAATTTGGTGTCTACAATGTTCAACTCCTTTTGAGACAATAAGTACTTAAGACTCCTGTGATCGGTATAAATCTCAAAAGTTACCCCATACAGATAATGTTTCCACTTTTTCAAGGCAAAGACAACAGCTGCTAATTTCAAGTGATGGGTCGGATAATTTTGCTCATGATGTTTCAACTTCCTAGAAGCAAAGGCAATCACATTCTTATTTTGTCACGCCCCATTTTTTGCAATGGAAAAGAAATATTTACAAAAGATATGATTTTATTTAAAAATAAGTGAAAAGGACCTAGAATGGGACTTTAAATAATGCGACAGTTTGGGTCCAAAATTTAGTCTAAAAGGATTTTTAAGAAAAATAAGAGTCGCTACTTGGTATTGAGTTTGGGTGTACCAAGTCACCCAAAAATATTTTTTGACAAAAATAAAATAAAAATAAAACCCTTTTGGACAACTCCAGGTCTTTGAAAAACAAGAGAAAATGAGTTTGGGAGTCACGGTTGAGAAAGGGAAGGCAAAGGTTCGATTAATTCAAATCTAAGGCACCCTTTCAACTTAGTCTAAGCTAGTTGCCAGGTTTAATAAAAAAATTTTCTTAATCTAACCCTTAAATTTATCACGTTCGGATGTTTCCTATATGGATACAAATCTAAATTTATAAAATATCGAAAGGGACAAAAATGTCCATTCAAGGGTTTAATTGATACCAATCGCATTAATTGCGAAAGCCAAAATAATTCCTTAAAGGGGTCACGAGCATACATGAATGAAATTCAAAAAAAATAAAAGAAAGTTAAATTATATATCTAGATATAAGTGGCCAAAGAATAGAAATGCAACATAATGGGTACGGAAGACAAAAACTCGTGACATAATTTTCTTACAGAGGGATCGATGGGCTATTTAAACTAAAGAGTTATAATCACCCATTTCCCACGTTTGAAGAATAATTCTCCTAACATGAGCAAGCAAATGCACTAACTTATTTTACAATTTCTTAAATGAGATGCAATTCTAAATGATATGATTAACACATAGAGGATAGCGGATAATATAATAGACAATATCATACAAATGAGAAAAGATCCTAAAAAAAAAAATGCATTAAAATGTAATGAATATTACACAAAAATGAATCTAACGCACGAACGATCTAAGAGTCTATCGTTAGACTAGCCTATTTCTAGAAATTCTTACTAGCATTGGGGTAGCAAGTAAACGGAGAGAGAAGCCACTACTAGTGTTGGACTAGTGTGGCGACGTCACGCATTAATAATACATAGTGTAGACACCAAAATTTTAATGTTTATTTAATTTATTTTTAGCTTTATCCTTTTATTTTTTACTTTTATTCTTGTTTTCATTTTTTATTTTATTTTAATTTATTGAACGTTGCAAAATAGTAATTGGTGTTTGTTTTCATTTTGGTACATTAAGATTCATCATTTTCTTTTCTTTTTAAAAACATTTTTTACACTAAACTTCAGAAAAAGAAAATTCTTAATAAAGATCCATTTTTTTTCTTTTTTTTTCAAACTCAGTTTTTTTTATATATAAAATGACATTTTGTAAGGTAATTAGAAATTAGCATTGAAAAGAAAAATACAAAATACAAGATAATATATGGCACACATGCAATAGGGCCAAGTGGGGCACATGCAATAGGGATAAGTGTCTCTTTATTTCTTTGACACCATAACACATAGAGGGTGAGGTGTTAGGACACTTGGAGATCTAGGGAAATTTGAGAGAAAAAAAATAATAAAAAAAGGGGAAAGGCTTGGCGGCTGGTGGGGCTGAGGGAGGAAAAGAAAGCTAAGGTAAGAAACAAAGAAAAAGGCAGCGAGAGGAAGAGCAAGATTGAACAAAGGAGGGGCTACGGGCTGGAGGAGAAAAACTGGAAAAAAGAAAAGAAGGGAAGCAAGAAGAGCTTCGAGTACGAGGAAAGGAAGGAAGGTTGTGAGAGGGAGTCGGTTGAGCAAGGAAAAGAAAACCAAGGAAGGAAAAGAAAAGGAGTGGCGGCTGAGGAACCAGAAAAGGGAGGAAACAACAGAAAAATAGCAAGGCAGAGAGCAAGAAGGAGAAAGAAAAAAGGCTACGGGGCTGAAGCAAAGGAGGAAAAACCAAGGGAGGAGCTTCGGGTAGGGGGGAAGAGCAAGAAAGAAAGGAAAAGAGAGGGTGGTTGAGCGAGCAAGAGAGGAGAGATCAGAAACAACAACCAAAAAAGAAAGGAGAGGAGAGTGGACGAGGAACAAAAAGAAACAGGAACCAAAAGGAAAGGCAAAAGGGTTTCGGACAATGAAAGAAAGCTAGGTTGAAGGAAAAGGATAAACCAGAAACGAGGGTTTTAGGGCAAGGAAAAACTGAACAAGGGAGGATTGGAGAGGAAAACAACAAAGAAAATGAAAAGGAAGAGAGCAAAAGAAAACAGAGAAGAAAAAAGAGAAAAGCTTAGGCTGCGTTTTTTTGGGATAAGGCTGATTGTCCAGCCTTCTTGAGTGAAGATTTTTTCTTTCAACTTGGCATTATTCGTCAAGCTGTTGATTTCTGCATACTCTCTGACGTCAGGAGAGCAATTTCTGTTCAAAGATCTCGGGGAAAGAACATCAGGAGAACCCTTGAATTTGGCCTTGAAGTGGTTGATCCCATCTCCCTGTTGCATGTCAGAAGCTGCAACGAATCAACTCCAAACAACTCCTTCGTGTGTTTTCCGTTCTTGATTTCGATTCAAAAGAAAAGCCTTCTCAAGTATGCTTCTAAAATAATAACCCGAATCCTTTCAATTTCATTCGCTTCTTCGTTCCTGGGCTTTGTTGTTTTTTCATTTCTCTTGCTGTTTTTCTCTTTCCGTGAAGTGCAATCTGTTTGTTGGACTGTCACTTTAATTGGATAAATCTCATGGCATGATGTTGGGATAGATGTTGTCTGTAATTTGGGTACATAATATCGTGCACTTGGATCTAAAAACTTGAGAAAATAGCCGTTAAAACCAGAAAATTGCAGAAACCCAGCAAAGAAGAAGAAGAAAGCTTCGCGGCTGCATGAAATAATTTCAGGAAATTGCACTTTGACCCTCGAATTTTGGCTTAATGTTACTATGGCCCAGAAAATTGGAAAATTAACTAATTTTGTCCCTTGAAAATGCTGATTTCCTTTGATATGATTTAATGTGATTTTTGGATAGCTTGTTAGTGAATTTTAGGATGAAATTTGAAGGTTTAATAATTTTTTATTTGGATTTTTAGTGAAATTTTGGGTAATTTTGTTGTTTAATTATAGCAAATGGGTTTTCTTTTATTTTTTTTTATGAATTTTAGCATTTGGTTTTGGTAGGTTTCATCTTAAGCCAATAATTTTATTTTATTTTAATTTAGACCCTTAATACTTGTCATAATAATGATTTGACCCCTCAAATTTCTTTAATTCTTTCAATTGGGTCCTTGTTGGTTTAATTTGTTGAATATGGGTTGTTTACTTGCATTTGAATGCTTTGATTGATTCAATTTCGTGTTTATTTTCATTTCTTGTGATTATTTGTTAATTAAAGTGATGGCTTGACCTTTTTATTGTTTTGGAGGGTAAATAAGGGAAACTTCATTTCATTAGACAACCAATTCAAGAGAGGTACACTCTACTCTTTTATTGTGATTTCATTTGATCCTATGTGCTCCTATGTGATCTTATGTGTATATTGCATGCTCTTAAATGTTTTTTTTATTTTCTTTCATTTGTTTGCTTAGTCACTTTTATTTGTTTTAATTTTGTATTTTAAATTTAATTTTTAGTTATTTGAGAGGCATTAAATGCCAAATTGTAATAGTTAGGTTATTATTTCATTTTATTTAATTCTTTACTCCTTTTAGATTGTAGTTAGGGCTTTATTTGCTTTATTTGCTTTGAGTGTTTTGCATGCTTGTGTGTTTATGTGTTGCTCGTTTTTTTACGGTCTTGCATCTAGATATCATACTTATGTGTTGTGTGCTATATGTGATTTATGTGTTTATTTGCTTTATTATGTTTTACATAATTTATTTGATTATAATAAATGCATGACATCACCACACTAGTCCAACGCTAGTTATGGCCCTCCTTTCTAATTTCTCATTAGTCCAACGCTAGTGAGAACTTATAGACATGGGCTAGTCCAACGTTAGACCCTTAGAGACCATCCACGCGCTAGATCATGTTTGTGTGACGAAACTCTA